ACGTGGTTTAGTTCAGGCAGCCCTGCGAGGTGCGGGGCGTTGGGCTCAGTGATCCGAATGGGTCCCTTCCAACTGGAGACATTCTGTGATCCTATGATAAATCTACTCTGCAACATGGCCAAAACTGAAGTACAACACACTTACTTGGTAGTCACTTGAGTTAGATTATCAACATTCACAAGGGTTCTGACAGTCTTCTCTGAACCAGAATTCAAATGCTCGTGTCAAGCCTTCAGGAAAAAATCCCCCTGCCATGCAGCTGGGACCCCCAGCCTGGGATACTCTTAAAGTAATTAATTCTCCTCCAAGACCTGAGCCAAGCTCAGTCCTCATTCAAAACACAGATACTTGCAAAAGCATTGCAACAGTAATGCTAAGAAGCTGGAACACTCGAACAGGAAGTGGAAGGCCTAGATTCAATGCCTCCAGCACCCTCAGAAATACCCCCCCGCCCTGTTTCCCTCCCTCCTAAGGCAGAGCACCAATGGTCTACCAATTTTTGGAACAGAGGGAAGGCACTTTATCCTGTATTTCTTCTGTTGTTAATACTGAGTCCAAGTTTGCCCACAGAAAGCTGAATCCCTCATACCCAATACGTACCATTTTTTTCAGCAAAGGCAATGGCATCTTCTTTAGTAGAGAAAGTAAGAACCATGTTGGATAAAGGATCAGCTCTGTAAGAGTCAGATGACAAATTTTAAGCACATTTGAAATATAAAATAATTGTATTTGTTACCTCAAGTGCTAGACAAATGCTGTATTACACAACTTTTTGCAGTACACCATCTCACAATCCATTCAAAACACCTTTATTTTTAATTACTTATAACTACATATTTAATTATTTAATTCACATGTAATTGAGTGCCGAGTACCATTTCACTCTCAGTCTGCTAAACTTCCCTCCCAACTCCTTACAGAAATTAATGTTTTAAGGTTTTTATTAGACGAACACATTATAACCTCAGCAGGCAGTTAGGTAAGTGCTCTGCAACACTATTTTTAAAGCTGTGTCGTCCCTCTCTTTTTGGAAGATGAGGAGGCTTAAGGAAATTTTGAACATTTCAAGGAGACCAGGAGTCTGTGGAGCAGCTAGGGGAAGAATAATGTTATACAGAAAGAAGCTGAATATCAAACTGAGCAGAGCAGGAATTAATCACAGACTGAAAAGTACGTTTAAAAAAACCCAAGAGTTCAGCTTTGGCTGAGGTCACATGACCTCCACAAATTATTCCAGTACAGCAAGCAGATCACAGGTCACCACTGAAAACGAAGCCCAGACCCACTAACTGCTGGCTAACTCAACACCCTGTGGTTAGTTTTAGATGATCAGCTATCCCTCAACTGACTCCTTGCAGAAGTGCAAACAGCAAAAAGCTTTTTGAAAAAAACTAAAATATCAGTTAAGAAAACCAAACTGCCTTACTTGCTGCTATAAAAAGCTCAGTTTCAGAACCATGACAAAGGATGAAAAATAAGGTTCTAAAAAATCTACAGAACATTTAGAGAAGTAAGATACTGTTAGTAGCAGCACAACGATTAGACAACGCTTCCCTGAGACAACACTGCACATGAGCCTGGGAGACAACCAAGAAGACAAGACCAAATTGCATCAAAGTATTGAAGGATCTGCCTCTCAACTGTTCTCTCTTTGAAGCTAAAAGGGTAAATGAAGAGAAAAAGCAACCAAAGATACATTGAACTCTCTACAATAAAGGACAAAGCCTGTGACTAGTGGAGGGGGAGGGGAAACAGGGGAATCTAGCTTCCAGCAAAGACAACAATGTAATTTTATCTGATGTACACACGGAAAAATGGAGTTCACTGTACATCCAATATATTCCCCAATAAAAAAAAGCCAAACAAACAAACAAAACAGGATGAAGGCAGAAATCACACTTTCACAAGCCACTAAGATGGGCTCTCTTAAGGACATTTAAAGATGTCTCTTATGAAGGCAGTAAGGAGAATTAGGAGCTATGAATTAGTCCATGACATGATCAGTGGGGAATCAAGCGACCCAAATGTATCACAATACTGTGACCATTTTTGCTTACTGTTCTTATCTTCCATGAATGGGGTTGGAAAAACCTTCTCAACAGCACTAAGTTGGAACAAAGTAGTACAGTGAGGGACTGGTGTCTGCTCAGTACTGCAAGTTTGGTGAAAACTTTCCAGGACAGAGGCAGTTTGGAAACACAGACTGTGCAGAAATTACTTCTTCTGTTTTCATATGGGATCATCTTTCATCCAATCTAAACACAGCTTTTTGGTTTCTTTCCATAACTGAGCCATCCATGTGTATAAAGGTTGTGATAATCTGTAAACAAACTGGAGTTCAGGATGGCCAGTGTAATGTCCTGATCATGTCAGCCGTGGCAGTGCTCCAGCATTTCCTGTGCCTGTCCTACCAGACACTACCAACTAGGGTTCCACATTTTGTACTCTTACAAGATCTTGAACAATGGAAATCATGCATTTCACACGTTTCTTGTTTACAGCTTTATATTTACAAAATCTACTCGAGAACTATGCACAGGCATTAAAAAACCTCGCAACCAAAAAAAATGCCATGGGTTCATCATTTTATTTAGATCTGCAACTGGAAAGTTTCCACTGAAAAAGCCCACCTACATCCAAGAAACAGCAAAGGCAATAAAAAAGAAGCAAACAAGAAGGTAAAATGACAGAAGTATAGCAAAGTCCTACATGTAAATAAGTATATGGAGTTCAGAGGAAAAGGGCTCTAATCCCTAGACCCTAAAGGGCTCCAATGCACTAATCCCATTACATTACTCAAAAGTAAATGGGAAAACTTCTAAGAACTGTTCTTTGCAGAAATTAAGTCTGAAGAGAAGAACCTTTTCTTAGGTATTTCTGGGTGTTGAACAGCAATTTGAAATTACCAGAACATCCACTAATAGTTTTTACCATAGTTCTTTTAAAAATGAACCAATACAAACTGGTTCACAAAACCTTTAACCTAGCAATGTCAGTTCTCAGCATGCCACTTACTTACTACCTGGAGCTTGCTTACACACGGAGAAGATCCCTTTACCTACCCCAGAATAAAAACGCATGCAGGCATGGATCCATTCAAAACAGCCATCATTTTTTAAATTCCCACAATAAGCTCACTCCAGGACAACTCAACATACAGGTAAACCTTTAATACCATAGCTCCTTTTCTAGGTGGTTTATTTAGCAAAAATGGTTACAACTGTTAGAAAGGTTAAAAGCCATTGTTTTGGCTGAGAACATGAAAAATCCCACCCAGAAAATAATCTGTCTGGGGACGTTAAAGTCAGCTGAAAGCAAAGGGGGATTAGAAGAAAAGTTAAATTCAACCTGCACTAAAGCAGGTGTTACTAGCACCTGCTACACTGTTCTAATCTCTGCAGTGGTATAAATAGGCCATACTCCAGTGGCTAGACACTTGGGAGGCACACAAGACGGGAGGGAAAGGTGTACTGCTGGTCAACAGTCTATCACCTAATTCGTCTGGGTCCCGTGAAACAACCTGGTCATTACTTGCTAAACGCAGCAGCCACCTGCAGCAGGCAAGCCGTCCAAGGCATACGTGTCTGAAATCACTGAAACCTTACCCTTTGAAACAGCAATTTAAATATGCTTAGGATGAAATGGTGAAAACCCCCAGTATGCGCTTAAGACGAGGTCATTGTTACATACAGGCTTAAAGTTTTAAAACGGGTGTTTTCACAGACTATTTTAATACAGTTAACTTTTTAATTAATATTCTGTATTTTTTCGTGTCTAACAGTAGTTGAGCTTGGCTTCCCTAATGCTCTGCAATACTAATACAAGCGAGATGTTACAGGTTGCAAACCTCCCCAGTTTTTAATGAGAAACCGACATAACAGCAACACTTGCTTTCAGAGTTATTTTGAACTCATAAAAACAAATAAAAGAAGAAATAAAAAAATCATTCTGTGACGGGATTTAGAATGTTAATAGATCTCAAAAAACACATCCTCAATTACTTTGTATTTAAGCTTTTAATTTTTTTCCCTATAGGATTTTGTGCTCTTTGATCCTATGACTGCGGCCAGACACTTTCAGTACATACTGTATTCTTTTTCAAGTCTGAAATACAATCTTTAGTGGTCAATTTTTGTTTATGTAGAATAATTAACTCTTCTGAATATGCCTCAAACAAGACAGCTTCAAATCAAAATTACAATGTTGTCAGGAGAATTGCTGACAAAGTCCTCACCGTTTACAGGAATTCTAACCACACCATAAAATGTAGGCAGCGTATTTAAGAGTTTTTACTACTAGTACTGGCAACACTGAAACCAAGAGTGGAACATTTTAAACAGTTTTTTAAAGTAGTTATGACTCCTTGTCTCAGATCTTCAGAATATTTATAAAACTTTGTAAAAAAATATCCCGCCGCTCAGTATTACCAAATTTACTCAGTATAGCCAAAGATGCAACTGAGAGCTGAGAGGGACTGTTTCAGGTAAATTACAAACTTCTTTCCCTGATGCTGCCATCAGTAACAACACCACAAATGCAATCACTGAAATTTCTCGTTAACACTTTTCTCACGCT